TGATTTAAATAATTATATAATTAAAAACTTTAATATTATTAAATGGGATAAGAAATTAAATATATTACAAAATATTAACTATGCACTTCATAATATCCATTATAACCAAATTATTCATTGAGATTTTCACAGTGGAAATATTCTTTGTAATAACGAATATGATGTGGTGATAAGTGATTTAGGAATTAGTAAATTATTAACTGAATCATCAGATAATGAAAATGAGTATTATGGTATTATTTCATATATTGCTCCAGAAGTATTTCAAGGACCAAAAAGTAATAAATATACTAAATATTCAGATGTTTATAGCTTTGGTATGATTATGTGGGAATTAATGACTGGTAGAAGACCTTTTTGGAATCAAAATTATGATACAGATCTTATTATTAAAATTTGTGATGGAATTCGTCCTCCTATTATCACAAATGCTCCTGAAGGATATATTGAATTAATGCAAAAATGTTGGCATTCTGATCCAAATGAGAGACCAACAACATGGGCTATTTGTGACTTTATTGATAAAATGATTTTGAATGAAAAAATTAATTCCACAATAATTATATATTCTTCAGATATTGGTCCTGTCATAATAAATAATCCAGTTACAAGCAAAGTAATAAAGATACCAGAAGAATCCACAAGGAGCATAATTTTTGGTAAATAAACTTGTTGGTAATTCTTATACAATTACTTGATAATATTTACTAATCTTGTGTATTTATTAAGGCAAAGGAAAACTTGATGAAAAAATTAAACAAATCAAATTCAATGAAAATAATCGCAATGAATCTGATAATAGTAAGTAAAATAATAAAATCAATAATTCAAGTACAATTTTCCCACCCATAATTTACATAAATTAATTATTTTGTATTATTCATAGATTATATTTCTAAAACTATAGATTTTGATATTTAATTTATTGTTGAATCATATATTTGATATGACTACATACATAAATTAAATAAGCATCACCTCCATTTTAATTATTTATTCATCGCATCTAAATTGAATAGATCATTACGAAATTAACGTTTAATTTATGCAGCGAAATAATTAAAGTTTTCTAAAAAATTCATGATTTCAAATTATTTCATACATATTGACAAATCCTATCCTATCATTATTATTATATATTTATGTTCACTAGTTATTTTGCTAAATATTCCGTTCTTAAATAATTGTAATTTAACTATAATGTTATTCTTGCTTTTCTAATAACTCAATATCAGAAAGTTATTTTGTTATTCTAGAGAAATTTAAAATTATTTAATAATAAAAAACAAAGATTACAAAAGTAAGAACATTGCGTCATATAAAAAGTAAAAAAGAACACATGAATTGCAAAGTTGATGAGTTTATTAGTTGAGAATGAACTTTGGAATATTATTAACATTTCACATAATTTAGAAATTAGAGACAAGTAATTAATATATTGATACATTAAGTTTAAGGATTTTAAAATTTACAAATCATTAAGAAAATAGGAGATGAAATTATGCGATAATAAGGAAATAAATCACGTTTGGTTTAATTACATCCAAAATATTAATTACTGTAAGATCCTAGCGAATGTCATATCATCATTATTATTTAAAAATTCTTCCGAAGGGCTCTCGGTGAGAAAACAATCCTTTTTCAACATTTTTGATAGATCTTTATTAAGAAAATTGGAGCTTTTGTGTTCATTTTCTATTGCGATCGGAGAATCCGTGTTTTGCAATTTCTTATCACGACTCATTTGATAATTCCTTTTCCATTTCATTTTTTCGTGATCCGATAAGTTCTTCCATTCTTTTGAAACCAGTTTACTGAATTCAGTCATTGGTGTATTAGGTCGTCTATGGTTCATCATTTCTTTACGATATGACATGAACATATTAGGTTCCTTCTTCATTTCGGACTTTCCCATTTGAAATAGAAAATGATTAAATGTGATTTATGTAAGAATTTAGTTGTCAAAAACCATTCATGCAAGAATAATTTTTTTTTTTCTTGAGAATTTTGATATTTAATATAAGATTCGTTGACGTATTTATAATCTCTGGCGGATTGGTTTTTCAAAGATCCGAACACGAGCTACGTGTTATATTCATATCATATCGTTTTTATGCAATTCCACAATGAACGACCGTGAAATGATTATGTTTGAACCTTTAATTTAACCATTTTCGCCTATAATCATCCAGCTTTGGAAAAAAATCGGAAATATAAAGAATCATAACCCCGGAATAATGATGAATGAAAAAAATGTTCTTTGTTGAACTTCTATGAATGGTATTAACAGATCTACAACCTACATACAAATAAACGGTTTTTAACCGATTTTGTGTTTAAATAAACCAAAAAAACTGATCGGCGCAATTGTGGAATCCTTTTAAACCAAGAACGAAATTTGCACTTAAAAGATTTTATTATAAATAACGATAACACCGAGTATTTTGAAAACAAATTCTAATAAATGACAGTATTTATTTATGTATCTTTTTACCATTCCAAATCCTGCGTAAAATTTCCAAATATTATATTCTCGTGTAACAAAATTTATTTTTTTCAAAATTATTAGCTTTTATAAATGAAAAGCTTTACCTTTTGCAAAAAAGTGGGATGAACAACACGATTGGATGATCGATCAACCTCATCATTACAAAACTGGTAGTGGCTCTTCTAAAAGAGATTCTAGTTGTTTGGCCTTATCCTCTGTACATGCTTAAAGATAAACAATTTTTGGCAATATTATGTAGCTGCTTATTTCTGATTTTTCGGGATCAAACATGAAACGCTAACGTTACTATGAAGTATTCTATCAACAAATATGAATTGTTTTGTATTTGTGAAAAAAAAAAGTATCAAGAGACCTGGATGCGAGTTAGAGATTCAGTAAAAGGAGCTTGAGCATTGAGTTTCGCTTCAAGTACGATTTCATAAATTTTTTTTTGATTTGAATGCATCCAACGTCATAAGTTAGGGAGAAATCGATTTGTTAATTAATAAAAACTTTTATTTTTTTTTAAAAAGATATTTTTATAATTTTTAAGATTCAAAGCGGTAGACGCTTTGGAAAAAATCACAACAGTTTTTTTGTATACTTTTAATTGTGGTTTTATTCAAAATATTAAAAAATAATTTATATTATCAAATTTCGCGGTTTTGTTACACAAAAAAAATCAAAATTGAGTATCAGCCTCAGGATAATTAAAGGTAAATAATAAATACCAAAAAATTTACAAACTAATATCATTGTATTTATCATCTAAAAGAATTGATGTTTCTTGAATAGAGATTTTCTGGTTTGTTAACGAAGTTAATGATGTCATGGTTCAACCATTTTGTTTTAAAAGAATAAATTAACAGTTAAAGTATAAAAAAAAATAAAAATTTGAATGGTAATTATACACAAACTTTTCATTACTTGAAAGGATAATTTTGTAGGATTAATTTTCGGAGAATAAAAGATTGAATTTTTTGTTAAATAATTCAAACTGAAAAATTTTTCACAAACATTTCATTTTCAAATCTTGTTTTATTTAAAATATATTAAAAATTTTTAACATGAATCAACCAATGGTTTAATAAGTTTTGTAATAAATAAATGACGTACATGATCAAGATTTTCAGTAGCGAAACTGATTCTGTGCGACAAACGAGGTAAAAGCCATTTTTATTTTTCATTCACCTCCAAAAAAAAATTTTATCGACCTATCATTAGCCTTATATTGTACAATTTGTACAATGCTATCAAACGTGTAAAATATTACTCTCGAAATAATAAAAGTAAATTAACGAGATAATTTTTTAACCCAAAAAAAGATATCTTTGGTGATCGATCTTAATGTTTACATACCTCAAGTTATGGAAAGAATTCAACAAACCACAAACAAAATGTGGTAATAGATCTCATTAGGTAAATATATCATTGTGCTTTTTATTAAAAATAGAAAGTTGCCTACCGGACTTGAATAGGAGAGTTTATAGTTGGTAAAATCATGTGGTACCACAGAAGTAAAACTGTGCAAGCCAATTTTCATCATCACATTTTCTCATGACGCATCTTGACCCGTCGTTTATGATGTCGATCTAGTATGTTGAGATTTTGTTCTTCCACTTGGTGGATCGAAACCGAATTTGGGATAAATTAATTCAAAAGCTTCAAAGGAATTAGATTCTTGAACGCCTTAATCTTTGGTACTTATTTTCATAAAAACAATAAATGCTAAACTTTACTATCAATAATCAAAATCATATATCCTCTATCCTCACAATCTTGATATCATTTAGTGAGCTTCAAAATCCGTACTGAAAATTCTATATTAAGGCGAGCAGGATGTACGGTTTTGGTATGAGATATGTATAAATATTATCACTTTGTAATCACAAATTATTAAACAGCTGCACAGTAATTGAAAATATTTTTACTTTATAGGAAAAAGAAAGAAAGTCACGCTGCGTGTGATCCACGAAACCAAGACGTATGTTAAATCAAATTGTGTATTACAAAAGTTCATCATTTTGGTGATGTACTTGTAGAATTTCATAAAAATAAATATTTGGAGAGTTCCTTGATTTACATGATATAATCACTATGCCTCATCAAAAAAAACTTTAACGCCCCGTAAACAATCTGACAAAATTTTCGTATTGTTTTTGATCATAATTTGAAATTGTAAATATTTCTTAATATAATATCCGCCCCATGAAAAAAAAAAATGATTAATTCTCAGATCGTCCATTTCAATTAACTTGTAAAGGAAGAAATTACCAATTTCTTTTAATGGAAAAGGAGCAAGTTGCTTATCTTTAAGGATAATGACCGACATAATAAATAAACTACTATACTACAATTAATTAGTTTAAAACCTTATATTTTGTGAAAAATCCTTGACTTGATTAATACCTCAGAAAAGTTATTTGAAATTCATATGTCGATTATCTGTCAATTGATATATAAGGTTGTAAAAAAAATAAACGTTTTTTTTTTTGCTCTGAATATAACAATTATGGAAGAGACAAATCAATCGTCACAAAATGTTTCCCAAAATAAAGCAGCAACTGTTCTGGAAATATCAAACATAAGAGTCATTAAAAATGAGAAAAATCAAATTCCAAATCCGTGGAAATTATTAACGTCGCTTAATAAACAACAACAAATTACTTTTGTTGCTGCATTTTTAGGATGGACATTAGATGCTTTTGATTTCTTTACATTGGTATTCTCCGTACCTTATATTGCAGAGGAATTTCATTTGGAACCATCTGACATTACCGCAAGGTGATAAATTTTATGCTTTTTTTTTTTTATTTGATATTAAACCAATCAGGAAATGTTCTAATTAAACAATCATTTATCTTCGGTATTAGTATTACGATTACATTATTTTTCCGTCCATTAGGAGCAGCAATATTCGGTTTATTAGCAGATCGTTACGGAAGGAGAATTCCGTTAATGGCAGATATCATTCTTTATAGCGTTATGGAATTGGCTTCAGGGTTTGCGCCAAATTTGTTAGTCTTAAATATCATAAGAGCAATTTTTGGAATTGCTATGGGAGGTGAATGGGGATTAGGCACAGCATTAGCCATGGAAATTTTACCGCCCGAAAGTCGTGGATTATTTTCTGGTATTTTGCAACAAGGTTATGCTACAGGATTTCTTTTGGCTTCACTTTTGAATTATGCTGTAATAGACAGAATTGGATGGAGGGCAATGTTTTGGATAGGTTCATTTCCTGCCATATTGGTCATCTTCATTCGTTTCTTTGTAAAAGAGTCGCCAGTTTGGGAAGCTCATCGTAAAGTTGAAAAATCAATCGGTAAAACCTTTCTGAATAGTACTAAATTAGCATTAAAACTTCATTGGAAAAGGTTCATCTATTGCGTTATTTTAATGGCTTGTTTTAGTTTGATGAGTCATGGTAGGTACAATTAATTCGTGTCGCGCAATAAAATTTTTTATTTTTTATTTTTAAACAAAGACATTTAATGCATTTTTTTTTAAGGTACACAAGATTTGTATCCAACATTCCTAAAAGTACAACTCGGATATACATCAAGTCAAGTTACAATACTTACAGTGGTAGCAAATATTGGGGCTATAATTGGAGGCTTAACTTGTGGGTATATGTCACAATTATACGGTCGTAAGATCACCATCGTTGTCTCGGTAATTTTGGCGGCTTGTTTTATGTCATTATATATATTGCCAAGACAATTTGGTTGGTTGATTGTCGGAGCTTTTGCAGTCTACTTTTTTGTACAGGTATAAATGATTTTTTTTTTTTTAAACAAATTTAATTTATGGTATTAAAATCTTGTCAAATTTTTTTAAAAATATTAGGGGGCATTGGGAGTGGTTCCAGCGCACTTGAATGAACTTTCGCCACCAGAACTTCGTGGTACGTTCCCAGGGTTAACTTATCAATTGGGTAGTTTAATAGCGGCATCATCGGCGCAAATTGAAGCAAAGTTAGGGGAGAAATTTAAAAAAAATGGAACGCCTAATTATGGATTAATTATCGTCTTACTATCGGTCATCGTAATGACGTTATTGGCTATAATCACTTTACTAGGTAAAGAAAATAAAGATATTAATTTTATTGAACAAGTTGAACAGCATATTATAATTAATAAGGAGAAAGTTAAAGGGAAGGGACAGGATGAAAGAGAAATGGTTGTAATAAGTGATGCGTAAAGTATTCGCGAAAGTTGTGTACAAACCCTGTAAAATAATCAATATTAAATTTTATCCTATTGTATTATAAGTTAAAATAATAAAATTATTCTCATCAATATTTAAAGCCCCGATGATTAGCATGATGATTAAATTTCGTGATGCAGGGGAATATAGATTATAAATAGTAAAAATAATTTCTCTATTTAAAGTTACCCTTGACAATCATATTGTTGATCCTTCTATATAAAGACGATCGGAAATTTTGATAAACTTCTTTTTTGAGTATTTACCTCCTAATTTAGTTACCAAAAAAATTTTTTTTCCTTCGAAATTCTTGTTTGCACTCACGCCCGTTTCGAATTAATAACCTGTTTGACGTCATTTATCATCTTAAATGTTGATTCATTTTTAAAATATTACAGGAAACATACATATGGACGATTTGAGTGCGTATAAAATTACGTTTTTTTTTTATTTGTTCATTTTATTATTGTGATAAACATTCATTGATATTCATCAAATTCCTTTTTTAAATTAATAATGAATATTTTTGGAAAAGGTTTAATCGTATATTAAGGTTATTCTTGTGTAATCTGAATTTTGTCAAAGTGATCTTACTTATTGGGGAATCATAATATTCGTTCTTTTTAAATTTCCCACATTTTGATATTTTGGTAAAATTCTTCCTTTCCTTTTCTTTTTTTTTAAATTAAAAATAACATTTTAATTTATTGCTTAAGGGACTTAACGTTTATCAACTATGGAAGAGAACACTGCAATAACTGATCCGGAATCAAATTCAAAAAATAATAATAACAATGGAAGAAAACAAGCGCAAAATCCATGGAAACTAATAATGTCGCTTAATAGATCACAAAAATTCACTTTTATTGCAGCATTTTTAGGATGGACATTGGACGCATTTGATTATTTTATTGTGATATTCTCCGTACCTTTTATTGCAAAAGAATTTAACATGGAACCTTCTGATATTGCTGGAAGGTATTATCGATCTAAAATTTAACCTTCAACTTCATTTTAGCCAGATTTTATCAGATTAAATGTTCTATCTATCTCTTGTCATTTATATAGCATTACGATTACATTATGTTTCCGTCCAATAGGAGCCGCAATATTTGGCCTGTTAGCAGACCGTTATGGAAGGAGATATCCATTGATGGCAGATATCATTCTTTATAGCGTTATGGAATTAGCGTCCGGTTTTGCACCAAATTTTTTGGTTTTTATTATTTTAAGAGGAATTTTTGGAATTGCCATGGGAGGTGAATGGGGATTAGGCGCAGCATTAGCCATGGAAATTTTACCACCCGAAAGTCGTGGATTATTTTCGGGCATATTACAACAAGGTTATGCTACGGGATTTCTTTTGGCTTCACTTTTACATTTTGCAGTAGTAGATCATATCGGTTGGAGGGCGATGTTTTGGATTGGTTCATTTCCCGCCATATTGGTTATAATCATTCGTGTGTTTGTACCCGAATCTCCTACCTGGAAAGCGCAACAGAATGTTAGAAAATCAACTGGTTCAACTGGTAAAGCTTGGTTGCAAAGTACTAAATTAGTATTAAAACATCATTGGAGAAGGTTCATCTATTGTGTTCTTTTAATGGCTTGTTTTAACTTTTTGAGTCATGGTAAGTATATTTCACCGCGTTAAATCAGGAAATAAAAAAAAAATAATAAGAATATTAATTACATAGGTACACAGGACTTGTATCCGACTTTCTTGAAATTGCAACTTGGATATGATACAACCCAAGTTACAATTCTTACGGTAATAGCAAACATAGGAGCCATAATTGGTGGCACAATCTGTGGATATTTGTCACAATTGTATGGTCGTAAGGTTACTATTATAATTACGGTAATTTTGGCAGCATGTTTCATACCTCTGTACTTGTTACCGAAAAGTTTTGCATCCTTGAGCGTTGGAGCTTTCGCCTTGTACTTTTGCGTTCAGGTATTCCGTTAACAATTTTTTCAAATGAGTTTAAACATATTTCATTTAACGATACTTAAATAAAATATCTGATTATTTCGATACATTTAGGGAGCATGGGGGGTGGTTCCGGCACACTTGAATGAACTTTCGCCACCAGAATTTCGTGGTACGTTCCCAGGATTAACTTATCAATTGGGAAATTTAATATCAGCATCATCGGCACAAATTGAAGCAAAGTTAGGGGAGAGATTTAAGAAAGATGGGAAATCTAATTATGGTTTAACTATTGGTATCTTATCCATCATTGTCATGGCTTCATTGGTTGTATTAACCTTCTTTAGTAAAGAATATAAGAACGTTAATTTTATTGAACAAGCCGAACAAGGTGATTTGGAAATCAATGAAGAAGAGAAACTTAAGGAGGAGAAAAAATGAGGGATCATTTTCATGAAAAATAATAAGTTTTCATTAAAAAATTTGTGTTTGGAACCGGATATCAAAGTTTAATCCGTTTAATACCCGATCATTCGATGTTAAACCGGATATTCATGTATATAAATAATGATATAAATATAACTGTTTGAAACTTTTATTTTATTTTATTTTTTTTGTATATTAGCGTTAGTATTTTCCTTCTGTTGATAACTTTATTTATTTTATTTGATAAGAGAGGATTATATAGTTTTTTTTAAAAAATATTATAATTATACTCTGTTTTTGTCCGGATTTATCCGTTGGATATTGACCTAATCCAAATAAAAAAGTTCCATGTAAGAAAGTAAAATCTTGTTACCTATTAAACAAAGGTAATTATTTGTAAAAAAAAAAAAAAAAAAAAAAAATTTTTGTATCCGAGAATAACATTGCTCATTTGATTAGATTATTCAATAACAAGAAATCTCAATTTAGTACAATTTATATTCATGTGTGAATCGAGGAACAACTCGAACGTCGGGTCAGTCCGCATAAATTATAACATAAAAGAATATAATACAAATTATCCCTAATTAGCCAGGATATAACTAATACTTATTAATAAAAAAAAATAACTTACCTTTACTTAGCGTTCAAAATTAAACTTACAGAGCCAGGCAAAAATGTTAAAATGAACCTACATGTTCTAATGTTTTATTTCTCCTTAAATACTGTTCAGGAATTGTAGTTAAATAGGTGGTTGCTTATTTATTAAAATGATTTAATAGACAACGTCCCAAATTGGGTATTTTTTTGGTACGAAAACTGCACAAAAAAATTTATTTTATGAGGTATAGAAATGAACTTAGAATGAAAATTAAACTGAATTGAGATAAGAACATTTATTATTTTACAAATTTATATAATTAAATGTTTACAATAATATTTAATAATTTTAAAAAATAAACTTCTGCAAACTTTTATTAGGGTTTTTTTTTTTTTTTTTTTTTTTTTTTTTTTTTTTTTATCACTTTCACACTTCCATTCAATTTCTGAAACCTAACGGGTCATATGAAGATCACTAGTTCACCTGAACTTGTTAAATTTTCGAATGAACGAAAGCTTAGGGTAGGATTTCTATTTGAATGTAGAGCTGAAACTACATTTTTTTGAGTATTTACGGAATGTTTCGCACGTCAATAAACTCCGTATTGCATAAAATTCATTTTATAGGTATATAGGTAGTTTTTTTGAGCGACCATTTTCAAAAGCAGAACTGTAATACGTCAAAAAAATACTTTGTGTCTCTTGAACTTAATTTATTTGCGAAGGAACGAAACTTCCATTGTATAAAGGTTACAAAATGTTCACGTCATAAACTCGGTTTTCATAATAACCATTCCATAGGTAATTTTTGAAACGAATTATTCAATAATAATCATGTCTAAAAAAAAAAATAAGTAAACGAAAGTTTGAAAGTAATCAGATTGAAGATTATGATGGTATTTATAACTTAAATTATTTATATATGTAATTCCAAAATTTATCTAATAAATTTTTGTGATTTTATAGACGAAAGTAATAACGAAATTAATTTATCGAATGAAACTTATCAATCCGGATTTGATATTGTTACAATTAGACAGAACATTGTAGACCCTCTGGCCAATTTGTCTTAGGTTTCTCTTAGGGAATTAGGCAGATAATTTTTTTTTACTTCTTTTTAATTCATTACGATGTATTTTCCTAATATATCTTTCCTTTTGTTCTTGTTTTTAATTATTAAAATTAGCATTTTAGAATAAACGGAATTTCGATCGTCGACGTTGAAGGCAGATTTTGCATCATACTTACCTAATATTATAACCTTACCTTTCCTTTGTTTATAAATAGAAACGTAAAGAAATGAGCGCAAATGGATTCAAAAGTCTACAGCGGTAAATGAATAAATTCGTATTTAAAAAATATGGTGAGTGTAGCACATCCTTAAAATGTTGTATTAATCAGTTGAATAGTGTGGCTCTCTATATATATTTATTTTACAAGTATTATTGAATCTATGTATATTGAATATGTTGTATCTCAATCATTAGTCAGCTCCTGATTACAAATTATTTTGTTAAAATAAATAATCGTGTAGTTAATAATTTCTTGCGAAATCAAATATTATTCACTTCCTTTAGGATATTCAGACTATTTATATTTAATTCCTATCATTATTTTTAAAATTCTATGAAAAATAAAATCCAAAAAAGTGACTAAAACAATTATCTACTAACCAATAGTTAATTCATAATTGCTTAATTTAATAACCCATAATAAGAGTTTACAATAATTAATCGTTCATTTTCATGTTCTATTCTATGTTCTATGTTCTATGCTGGAACACTTTACGTAATGTCAATTTTGTGGCAATTTAAAATTTTTTCAAAAATCAGATCTAACGAACAACAAAATCATATTTTGTTTTTGATAATAAATAAAACGTGCATTAAAAAAATATTTTGATTTTTTTAATTTTTGTATTCGCTGCGCCACAATTCAAGTAGTGTTACCGCAACTAAAAATAAATTCGTTAAATTAACAAATAAGTTTAAAATAAATTGATTATTCGAGTAAAAATTATTGAAACTTTGTCGCAATAGGTTAAAACGCTTTATTGGCTTTTATTACATCTTAGATGATTCAAACCATTCGATGGTAGGAATTAAATTATTATGTAATTAGTTAATTGATAGATTTAACAATTATTAACGAAAAGAAAATATTTTTTTTCAATTTCTCTATGCAAAAAATAATGGGTCCCTTCAAATTTCAATTGACTAAAAAATTTAGGAAAAAAAAAAAAATAATAATAATTTAGAAAATGAAAATTTAATTTTTCATGATTAGACAATTATTATCATCACAAAATATTCATAATTGTTCGAACGTTAATAGTCATTTGAAGTAATAATTATGTTGTTGTAATTGATAAAAATAGCTCTTTAATATGTACAGTTATGCGAAAATAATATTTATAAAATGGTTTAATCAAAATTTATCAACTTATCAATAAACGAGAATTGATCCTAATAGTTTCTCTTACAAAGAAGCTTCATTGAAAGTTCAGCATGTATATGTTTATTAGGAAAAATTTTAATGAAACTTTAAATTCGTCTCTTAGTTTTGTAAAATAATCAATAAACTTTCTAAAAAATACAGAAATTACTAAAGGGCTTGCGAATTATCAAATAATTTTATTAATGTTTTGGTTAAATTCAACGAATACAAAAGCTTAAAACGGATTTTATTCTTACTTTTTTACAATAGTAAACAAAATAAAACTTAAATAATTTAATACATCATAATTAAAATTTTAAACTGTAACTTATAAATGAGTAAACATATAATGTCGATTTAAAATTAGAAGCATTGAGCCGTAGCTTTAAGTTTAAAAAACTTTATCAGTTTCAATTACTATACTTTCTATTAAAAATCAGGTTTCAATAGGATTTCATGTTATTAAATTAGCTCATGAACTAAGCATAAACTTATCATCATTAATAGAATCTTTAGAGTCAATACAATTGTATATTTTACTGCTTCTACCTAGAATGTAAAAAAATATTAAATTAAAATTTATTTAGTTAATCATTATTTGCTAATAAAAATATAATACCGTTATTTTTAGTTATAGGTCCAACTTCAGGTGATTCAATTATTTCAGTTGGATTTGTTTGTTCACTCAAATAAAATTCATATACTATATCTTTAATATCATTAGCTTTTAGTCTTTTACGTGGATCAGAATTCCAACATGCTTCCATTAGTTTAATATATCCTTTAGGTGCATTTGTAACAATAAGAGAACGAAGACCATTACAAATTTTATAAATAAGACATGCATCATTATAATCTTTATCCCAAAAAGGTTTTCTACCAACCATTAATTCCCACATAATCATACTAAAGCTATATATATCAGAAGCTGTAGTATATGTTTGTCCTCGTAAAATCTCTGGTGCAATATAAGGAACTACACCATAGCATTTATTTTCATTAACTGTAAAGTGTATTAATTCACTAATTCCTAAATTGCTTATCACAATATCATCTTCATTTTCACAAAGTATATTACCACTATGAAGATCTCGATGAATAATTTCTCGATCATGAAACCCTTCAAGTGCAGAGATAATTGACATTAATATTCTTAATTTTTGATTCCATTTAAGATTATAAAAATATTTAACTAAATAATGTTCTAAATTATATATATAATATTTCATAATTATTACAAAATCTCCTGTATCAGGATTTTGAGTAATCCCATAATATTTATTTTAATAAAGTAAAGAAGATATAACTCCTTTAATTATATTATAAATATGAATAATTACAATCTAAATTAATAAATAAATATAAATAAGTAAATATAATATATATAAAAAATTAATATTGAGAATAATATACCTCATTTAATTCTTTAAGGGTAATGTTTTTAGAATTTTTAAGTTGTTTTAAAGCAATTATTATATTATTTTCATTATACTCAAAATCTTCTTTTTCTTCATTCCAATTAGGTGGACCATTTTTTCAAATAGCTTTATAAACTATACTAAATCCTCCCTTACCAATCATTTCTAAACTTTTAAATTGATCATAAGGAATATACATCAATCTATCAGATTCTTTAACAAAAAAAAGTTGTGTAGACTTAATATAAACATCAACAGATTTATTTCCACTCGGCCTATATAATAATTCAGATTGATAGCAAATTATACAAATATTATGATATGCTTTTAAAGGTCTTCTATGCATAAAACAATTTATACATTTATTATATATAATATTTTCTGGTTCAATTATAAACTTTGCTAATGCAATTTTATTAATTATACTTTTCAAATAAAGATCAGAGAGTTGATTTTTATATTTATCTTTATTAGCTTTTTGATACCAATATATAGCTTTTTCAAAATTTATTTCTATTCCTTCACCATTAAAATATAAATTAGCTAAATAAGCCATTGCAGTGACATTTTTATTTTTTGCTTCCTCTTGATACCAATAAAAGGCTTTTTGTGCATCAAATTGTCCATCTTTTTAACTCCAATAAAGGTTTTTTCTAAATTTATTTCTATTCCTTTATCATTTTTATATAATGTTACAAGGTATAATTATGCTTCAATTTGTCCATTATCTGCAGCTTTTTGACACCAATAAAAGGTTTTTTCTAAATTTATTTCTGTTCCTTTACCATAATAATATAAAAATGCAAGATAAAATTGTACATCAATTTGTCCACTAACTGCAGCTTTTTGACACCAATAAAAGGCTTTTTTAAAATTTATTTCTGTTCCTTTACCAGTTTAATATAATATTGCAAGATATAAATATGCATCAATTTGTTCATTTTCTACAGCTTTTTGATACCAATAAAAAGCTTTCTCTAAATTTATTTCTATTCCTTCACCATTATAATATAATATTGCAAGATTAAATTGTGAATTAATATCTTCATCTATTGCAGCTTTTTCTAAATTTTTTTCAGTTTTTTCACTTTTATTATGATGTAGAATAATACCTACATTCTTTGCAGCTCTTTGATACCAATAATAGGCTTTTTCTAAATTTTTTTCAGTTCCTTCACCTTTATAATATAAATTTGCAAAATTTAATTGTGAATCAAAATCTTCATTTTTTGCAGCTTTTTTAAACCAATAAAAAGCTTTTTCTAAATTTTTTTCAGTTCCTTCACCTTTATAATATAAAGTTGCAAGATTATATTGTGCATCAATTTGTCTATTCTTTGCAGCCTTTTGATACCAATAAATGACTTTTTTTAAATTTATATCTATTCCCATACCATAATAATACAAAGAACCAAGATTGTTTTGTGCAAATCTATGTCCACTTTCTGCTGCTTTTTGATACCAATTAAAAGCTTTTTTAAAATCCTTTTCTATTCCTTTACCATTTCTATGTGGAATTACCAAGATTAAATTGTGTAAATGCGTCACCATTTTCAGCAGCTTTTTGATACCAATAAAATGCTAAGTTATCGTTGACTTCAGTTCCAAATCTTTTTTATAACATCTACCTAAATATAATTGCGCAATAGGATGATCACAAGCTGCTGCTTGGAAGCATATAAATCCTTTTTTATTATTGTCTTCTAAACTTAGCAAATTATAATAATTAAAAATTCCAAGGAAAAAAGCGAACTTCGCTTCATTTTGATTTACTTCAAGCCAGAGAAAAATATCGTCGGTTGAAAAATTAGAACTAGCAATGTATTTATTTATATAGCTCTTCGTTTCATCAAAATATCTGCCCTCATTTTGTAATTCAATCAATAGTAGGAATAATTTATCAATTAGAGTTCTAATACTATCTGTTGAATTAAACGTTTCATCATGTTTTGTTTCTTTTGGCATGATTTCTTAGCTAAGAGATATATGAATGTAGAAAAAAATATTTTTTTTTTTTGATTTATGGAGATTAAAAACAAATTTTGATAATATTAATTATTTTATCGAAATATTTCTTATTTAAACTTTTGCAGTCAAACGCTCATTCTTTGTAGATCTACAAATTGCATAAAGCATAATCGCCAAAATACATGCTAGATTCTGCAAAAAAAACAATAATCAATGAAAAACTTATCGGAAAAATATTATACAAAATGAGATATTTAAGAAAAAACTTGCGGCAAAATTTATACATTGCATTGCATGCATCACATTCTTTATAGAATGTCAGATTTGCAATCTGAAATCTAAAAACAATACGAAAAAGGTACATTATTATTATATTATTATCACAAAGGCAAATAAATTATCAAGGACTACATTAAGCTTGTCGGGTAAACGATTTAAGCAAGTGGCTAACGGTTTGGTCAGTCTTGTTTCCGGTTAGATCATCAGAATTTTTTTTAAAAAAAAAAATCTGCTGAAAAAAAAAATTCATTTGCTCAAATAATTATCGCTGTATTACTGTAATTCATATTTTGATGTTACAATGAAAAAAAAGATACGATAAATGATAACATAAAAAAAATTTTTTACTTTTGCAACATTTTTGATTTACTGCGATACTGCGGTAAAAAAATATAATCCCGTTTTAAATATGGGCGGAAGAAAAAGAACAACTTAAGAAATGATAAAATGATATCAGATTATTCTATAGAAATCGGTTAGATTAAATGAATTAAATTTATATATTTTATCTTGTTTTCGTCGCGCAGTATATAACCACAAATAAGTTCCAAAATTCTGTAATTAATCCAAAAACAATAATTTTTATTACTCAATTCAAATTCGTTCTCTTGTGTTGGAATTTTACCGACTTTTATGTCTTATCCTGAGTCTTATTACTACAAATGAAAGCTCTGTCGACAATCAGGGACTATTAAAATCTTAATCTTACTTTCATTTATATATACAATAACGAGATATTAAATAAATATAATAAAATAAAAATATAAATATGTTTAACAAAAAAAGTTATTTTCCATAGTTACTGCGTCTTCCGCGTATTTCGAGGTGAGAATTTTTGCCCAATAACTAAGTGCTGACGCCACTTGGTATTTAATTTATAACTGAACTAAATTTAGTCCGAGTTTATGAAAATTGTCATAGAATAAATTATAAATTGTATGCAACTATTACGTGAGAATAAATCTACGTGCAGAAATTCGGTAAAGCTGAAATTAAAAAATGGCAATGTCGATCATATGACTTACCTAGAAAAAGGTAGTCGCCGGATATTGAGTATTAATTATGGTTGGGATTAGAATTAGATAATAAGGTTGCGAAATTTCATCATTCATTATATAAATTAAAAGACTACTTGATTATTAGATAAAAACATCCTGCTAAAAATAAAATGCCAGTGTTCGAATTTTATGGTTGGCGCAGTCACTGCGTAAAAAATATTGAAAATATCAAATATATGTGATATCAATTATAATAGTTTTCGTGTTTATATTTATTTATTATTTATTATATTCTCTATATTCTCTATATTGATTATTTTATTATATTAGATGTATTTGTTATATTTATTTTAAAATAGAAAAAGTAGTATTTAGAAATTTTGTATATGAAAATTCGCTTCAAAGAAAAGGTTGACGAGTCTTGAAAAGAGATTTCCGAAACCTTGGCATAATAAATTCTACATTGTACTTTCAAACTTTATCGTGTTTCCATATTGATTGACTATTAACCAACTACACAAAGAATTGAATAAAGAATTTGTAAATAAAACTTTCTATGGACAGGCATGAGTTAGATTTAATCGTTGTTTGGCTAACCTGTTTTCGGTTTTAACACCGGATAAAAATGATCCGCCGACTAAAATTCTTTAATTTCTGGACACACACATTCAAAATCCGAATCCGTTGGACACCCTAAATCAAAAAACTATTGTAAACGATATAAAATCTTAATAACAAAAAAATAAAATAAAATAAAACCAAGGTTAGCTTTACCAAAATTCCATCCTTACTTCTTTAGTAAGACGAAAAAATAATGACGAAAATTGCTAATAAATTCCATTTTAATATGCAATAAATTCGTTTAAAAATTCAATACATACCTAATTTGTCCAGTAAATCCATCAGATTCGAGATCGTTTCCAATATATAATGGTATATAAACATTCATTCGCCTTTGGATATCTGAAGTGTATACACCCAAATGGTACCATCGGTTAAGTAGAAGTCCATCACCAAAAATTATTTTCGCCAGTAATCGAGAAGCGAAGATGTAAGTTTGAATTATTTGCGGTCATCCAGACTGAAGACGTGCGTTGGATGCCAAAGAAACTTTCATATCAGTAAGAAATTTTTCAGATATAATTGGTAGTCAATTGCAAAATATGTAAACCACCTTTATGAAAAACAGAGATCATGACTCGCAAGATATATTCTTAACTTTAGTGACAACTCATCCTTTACTAACGGCTACAATGAATGTTCTATAACTTTGTTATCCTTGGAATCTAATGTAATTGGTTCCATTATTAATTCATGGTATGTTTTTTTGATCATGTTTGCAGAAAACTAATGGTGAAGCAAGGATGATGGTTATAATACAAAATAGATTCGAAAATAGAATTTTCATCATGCGCTGTTGTGTATAATGATAAATGCTCATTCAAATAATTTAATCCTTTAATAAAAAAAAAAAAAAATTAATCGGATATTCTTTACATTCATAATCTTCATCGAAAGTTAGCATGAAAACGACTATATCTATTTGTCATTGTAGCTTATGTGATTTTGATTGTCATTTTAAATAATATATTTATTCGCGACGGATTTCATGTAAGGCGTAACACATTTGTTTTTCTGCAAAAATTGCGCTTAAAATTTTTTATAAAGCTGCATATACAGTATATATAATGACTTTACTTAAATCTGAAACAATTTTTCCCAAATTCCTTTTCACCCTTACACATTAGTCATGATCGTAGTAAAGAATGAAAGATGTCGACAAAATATTTTGTTAAAGAATTTATATGGAAAATTTCTTTATTATATAAAGGAAGATAATACTCTTATAAAAGCTTTTTCATTCTATTTATATATATCGTTAACTATACATTTATCAAAATAAAAAATTATATAAGGAACAATTGATTTTGGTTAACAACGTCAATAATTGTTCATTTGTTGTGACTGAAATTTACTCTATTATAATAAAAAATTAATGATTTCTTTTCTCTATAAAAATATTTATAAAAAGTTAAGTAATAAATTTATCTCTAATCTTCAAAATAGTTCCTTTTCTATTTGCTTTCTGCTATTTTAAAAAATTAAAAGAAAAAAAAAGTGAATATTTTTAAATGTTCTATTAATTGAATTTAAAAAAACCTGAAAAATGAAACTGACATAGTATCTAATGCAATTGAAAACTTGTATAAAAATAAAATAGAAATATAAAATATTAAAGTTTATATTTACAAAATTATAAAAAAAAATTGGTATATTGTGATTAGTTAAAATAATTTTCTATAAGTTGTCTGAAGTTGAAATTCAGATAATAAAAAAGATGTTTGAAATTGGAATTCTAATTTTAGTTAACTGAAATTGAAAACTCAATTTTAGATATTTGAAAATTATCTAAATTTTGATTTAAATGAAAATCAATTTCAGTCATAACACATTGATTAATTTCTATTTTCTTATAACTAAAAAATACAAAATAAAAATATATATTCATTTTTATTTTATATTTCTTTTTAAGTAAAATAATAATCATTTTTTAAAAAAAGATTAATATTAGCGTTAAATATAATATATTTTATTACATAATAAATTAAAAACTCAGCAAGTACTTATTTAGACACTACTCTATAGCTTTATTCCAATTCAGTTATTTTCTTTTCATCTTCTATAGCTATTTCTTCTATCATAATTATTAAGTTTACAATTTTTAATATTATTAATAAACTACAAATTTAAGTGTTTAAGATAATTTTTTTTACTTTAAATTATTTTCATATTAAAAGAATTTTACAGTAATATACATTCAATCATTACTAATAATATTTATTAATTTTCTATTTGATAAATTATTAGTAAATTTTCAACAAGTTTCTTATTTGATTTTTGATACTAATTAAAATATTTGTAATATGATATAATCTAATAAAGATAGCAACTCATTTTTTATGTTTCTCCTTTATTGATCATTGAAAATATCATTAAATTTACTTTATTACTACAAAATTTTAAATTTAATATATCTCAGCCAATATTACCTTAAATATTATGTAAAAATAATTATTAGAATCATCTTATTCAGATGAATCTAATAAGCTATTAATTATTGATTTTTAATCATTAGATTACAGTTAAACCTCTATATACCGATATCGTATATACTGATAATTGCTTATATCAATAAATTTTTCATATATTATTTCATAATTAATAAAAAAACCTTGTTATACTGATATTACATATAGTTATACGATGTAACATATACTGATATTTTTCTTTGTCCCCTTATAATTAACATATAGTAATATATACTGATATTTTAGGTTACACTAACATATAATTTTACTTAATATATTGTAATGCATTTTTATTTGCATTGGAAAATTATGTCAACTACAAGTAAAAAGAAAATCAACCTAAGATACTTCTTAAACAAAGAAAAGAGTTGTTTTAACATACGCACAAAAAAGACAACTCTGTTTAGATTATCAAAAAACGCCATCACTTACTCAAAAAGAACTTGCTACTTTATATAAAATTAAACAAAATACTATTTCAGATATTTTAAAAAAGAAAGAAAAGTGGTTGAGTATAGATTCAGACTCAAAAGAGTCAAATAAACAGAGAGAAAAGTTTGTTTATTTTTCTCAAATAGAAGAGGCTTTTTCATTATAGACAACTAATATACTTGCTGCAGATCTTATTATTAATACTGATATTTTACGTAAAAAAGCTAAATTTTTTGCACAGTGGTTTGAAGTTGATAATTTCAAATGAATGGATTAATAGATTTAAAGAACATCACAATTTAAAACAATATGTGAAGCAAAAAGTACACTATTGGAAACATTAGATGAGAAAAGGAAAAATTTATGTAAAATTATTGAAGATTATAATTTAAAAGATATTTTTAACTATGATGAAACAGGTAATTCTAATTTTTTTTTTAAAAAAAAATAATTAAATAATATTCTAATATTTTTTGTTTATTTTAGGACTGTATTGGGATTTTAAGCCAATAAAAACATTAGCGCAAGGTCCACTTTCTGGGAAAAAAAATTCAAAAAAATGTGTAATGCTTCTACTTACATGCAATGCAACTGGCACTGAAAAATTGAAGCCACTTTTTATCATAAATATCAGAATCCACGAATATTAAATGGGATAAAAAAGGAAGACTTACCAGTTGATTATTACTGAAATTCAACTGCCTGGATGTAGGTTTCAATATGAAATGATTATCTTGAAAAATTAGATAGACAGATACGATTGCAAAATTGCCACATTCTTTTGCTAATTAATAATGCGCCAATACATATTATAGATGAAAATATAAATTTAACGAACATGGCTATACACTTTTTGCCACCAAACACTATTGTACATTTATAGCCTTGTGATGCAGGAATAATTAAATCTTTTAAAGTCAGAAAGTTTTTTAATATTTTTATTAATTTAAAACAGCAAAAAAATTTAAATCCAAATTATACTAATCATGTAATTTCTTAATAATTTAGGCACAATATCAAAAATTACTCATTAGAAATAGGATTGAGGCATATGAAATTTCATAAGAATTGAGAAAAAAGACTATTTCACTAAACATTTATGATGCTATTAATTTTAGCAAAAGTGCTTAGAATTCTGTAAGTTAGCATACAATTTTTAATTGTTGGCAACATACAGGAATTCTTCTACAAGATGAAATGAATGATGATGAAATTGAGGATTATGATGATCAAGTAATTCTTGATGAAATAGAGATACAAGAATTAATTTACCAACTTCCATATAATGACTTTATGGATGTAACAGATTTTTTTCATATTGATGATAACTTAAAAAGTAGTGAAAGGTTAAGTGATGAAGAAATTGTATTGATACCATATGAAGTCAATTCTACTGCATCACAAAAGATTAACGAATGATCAATGTTATTAACATCATTAGCAT